CGGGAAGCCGATGTCTGCTTGATCACCGGGGAACTGATAAATGTCAGTCGTCATTCTGGGTGATGCCGATGGTAGGATGAGTATTGAGAAAGCAATGAAAGGCAAGCAAAGACACAAACAAAGATGTGTGAAAGGGCAGAAGGCAAACGTCGTCTATCAAGGACGCTACGAAGAGCCGCCTGACTGAGGTTCAGCGGTTGCGGTGAGATCGTGCTTCGCAATGTCCGGCGCTTCAAGTGAGAGCAGCAGAGCCTCACCGCATGACTTGGAACTGAAATCGTGGTGCAAAAAGACGTGAGAGAACGCAGCAAAACTCACCTGATCGCCGACCTGCTGTCCATCCTCATGTTCTTTGCGAACCCGCGCACTGGCCCCAGCATCGCTGGACATTTTCGCACCTGCGGTCCTAGCTGGCGTGCTGGGAACTTTTCGCCGTGGTTGCAACTGGATGATCTCGCCATCGTCTGCGATCATGAAGTCTGGGTCTTCAAGCTGGATCGTATCGCCAGCGCCCATGACACTTGGTCCGCCAACACTGCCTACTCCATCGTCGCCTTCGAGTCTGAAATCGGCCGCCATCACGGGAGATGAAGTAGGCAAGATGAGCCCACCTATGCCATCGGCATGGGAAGACGACCGTGCTTGCTGGGAGCTGAAGGGTGTGAGCGTCTGGGAGTCGCCGGACCGCGCAATGTCGAGATTGAAGTTGTGGTCTAGTTCTGTGAGGAAGTCTGGGGGAGGGGGCGCGAGCTCGGGCAGGAAGGAAGGGTCATCCTCGAGTATAAGCTGCTCAGGCCTAGATAGATCCTGTGAGTAAAGCGATCATGTTATAAGGATGATGCATGCTTACCTAGCTTTTCCGGCATCTGGATCGAGTGCGGTATGCTTCACCGTCCGTAGCATCACTAGCAGGGCGTTTCGCGCACTCTCTGCGTCCGAAAGGATGTATCCACATTGTTGTAGGTATACACGCGATACACCGTACCTGCATGCGTTAGTAGTCTGTCGCTCGGACAAGGTATGGCAGCGCGGCGTACATCAAATTGCCCTGTAGCCGTAGAGCCATGGGCGCTACAGGATCGACAATGGTCTGGCATGCTTTCTGTACATCGACATCGAGAATCTGTTTGCGGCCGATTCGTTTGTGGGTGGTAGCGACGAGCCTGCCACTTCGGTCAGTACAAGGCAGGGGCGACTGGACGCCTTCTAGCATACCACACGGTTGCCACACCGTATTTGCGCGACGTGAGCACTACGATTGTTAGTCAAATCGTTCCGAGCTGCAGTCTCGGTTTGGAGCTTACCTTCGTGACTGTAGAACATGCTGTCGGTACTTAATACATGAAACAGATGATCGTACAAGTGTAATGATACAGGAAAATGATTGCGGCGTCTCGCGAATGGCGCGCGATATTAAAACAGAAGCGCAGCAGTCGAACGTATGGGGAGGAAAGCATTCCTGGAGGTGAGCGTCACGATCATGGAAGGGCTTGGCAGCACGTTGCGACGCGTTTCTACGCGTGGTGAGGTGAAGACGGAAAGGGACAGAAAGTACACTTCACCAGTCTAATGCCGTGTCTATTAATGCAAGGTCTTGAAGTCATGCAATCGTTACTTAAGCTCTCAGAGGTATCGTCCCATAGCCTTTCCAGCTAGTACAACGCCGAATGCCATGCATTACCTGCTGCTCCAGTCCCGTTTGCGCTTCAGCATGATCTTGCGCGCGAGATCCAAGGAGATGCCCATAGTGAAGTGTGTCGATTCAGTCTATGAGTCGCCCATCTGCACGTCCTCGTCGACGACGGGAAGAGGAACGGCGCGGTAGAGGAGGATAAGAGCCGAGTGGCTTTGACCTGGAACATGTCAGTCATCGTCAATTCACAGTCACAGTCTGGGATGCTTACCTCCGCCAGACAGGGTTTGTATCCTCTCAGCATCCACCTCAGATACCTTCTCGTCGTTGAACCACCACCATTTACCGTCTTCCTCCTTCCGCTTGCCAGTGTTGGGGTCCTTGGGTCCCTGCTTCTTGACGAAGGACGTGTAGTGGCCACTGTCGGCGCTGGCGCCTTGATGAGTGATGACACCTCTCAGCTCGTAGAGACCGGTCTGGTTTGCGCCTTCATCTGCAGTCATCTTGGAGTCCACAAGAGCGAGGAGCTCCTTCTTGGCAGCAAGGATTGATGCGGCGCGTTCCGCCTCGACCTGGGCGTCGGTCTTGTACTCAACCTCCTCCATCTTGGTGTCCTCAGCCGGCTTGCTGGCGTCCTCCTTCTTTTGTGCAGCTTCCTTCTTCTTCTGTAGAGGCTCCTTGCGAGCAAGAGGGTCGCTGTCGTTCTCCTCGCCAGCTCGCATGCGCTTCTGTCGCTTGCGGGCGCGCTCGACATCCTCCTCTTCTTTGCGGACTTCACGGATCTTGTCCCGGATTGGGACGAGCATCTTCCTCAGGTCGTCTGTGCAAAACTCCAATGCGTCCAGCTCTTCGGGGAAAGTGACCTTGCGCATGATCTTTGCCTTCTTATTGGTATCCTTTCGCCAGTCGAAACGCACGAAATGGATGGGGAGGTGTTTCGGTAGGCGCGCGATCTTGGACGTCTTGGTGTAGATGGCGTTTCGGCCCAGAACCTCTGATCGCTTCTCGATCTGCTCCTTCAAGCCAGCAGCCAGACCGTCCCTGAGGTGGTTCGTCTCTACGTTGATGTGGCAGTTGAGCTTGAAGAAGAGGTCATCGCTGTGAACGGGCTCCTCGCCACCCTCCTTCGCTGCGGGCTCATCGCACTCCATGACTGACTCAAACTTGCCCGCCATGTACTTGTCGATCCAGGATAGCTCCCTCTTCTTGTTCGCATCTGACCCTGTCTCGTTGTCGGTGATCTTGAGCTTTTGTCGGAGCAGCGAGACGATTTGTGACCAAGCCTCCTCGGCATCCTGCTGTGCGTAGCCGTGGCCGTCCTTTGACTTTTGGGCAAACTGGGGAAATGCGGTTCGGAGAGCGTTGAGGAACATGAGTGGAGGGAAGCCGTTTTGTGTCTCGGACATTTGCTTGAAGAGGTCGCGGAGGGAGCCCGTCAGGTCGGCTGAGCCACCGAGGCCACCGAGACCGAACTGGCTGAGCTGCGCGGCACTGGATGAGCTGGCACCGTTGCTGGAGAGGGTCAGTAGGAGCACGTGGACATGATGTAATCGAATTTACCTGTCTGCGTACCGCAAGAGCTCTTCTTGCAGTTCCGGGATGGAGCGTAGCGTCTGCAGGGTGGAGTTCATGTAGCATGTGTTGCCCAGGTTCTGCAGACCTGCGGGTGTGGCGCCCTCCAACTGCGCGGCTTCCGCCTCGTCCATGTCCTCGAGGAACTTGACCGGGACCTTGGGCTTCTCGATGACGTTTGCCGACCCCGAGGGCGTGCCCATCATCATGAGTGTCTGGTTCGGCTTGAGGCCCAGCTTGGACATGTCGGCGTCATCCTTGAGCTGTCCGCCCTTGACGATGACCTTTTGGCGCTCTGGCTCGACGCCGGTGATGGAGAAGAGTTGGTACTTGAACGTCTCGCCGGTGGAGGTGGTATCCACTTCGACCTCGTGCTTCTTGCCCTGATGCTTTACGATTACTGCAAACATGTGAATTAGTCTTTGGACCCTTCGAATGACCGTGTGGCGCTGCACGTACCTGGTATAGACGCCATGATGAATGTTCAACTATACGGTGGATAGAGTATAGAAGACTATGGGAGGCGGCGGCGAGAGAGTGGTTATAGTGGCTTCGTGGGGCAAAAGTTAATGGAAGCATGAGGAAGGAGGGCCGCGCCAAGCTGACCGCCGCCCGGAGCTGCTACCCCACTAGCGCGACCAGCTGCAGGCACCGCCAACTCGCCGTACTGGCATGTCATAGCCCGCTCTCCCCCGACGGCAGCCCTACCATTCCAACATAGAGCTGCTGCTGAGCTCTATCCGCAATGGTACAGTTACCTCTTACTGCCGTGGTCTAATCATGTGCTCATACTGACACCCTCAGTCGCAATCACTCCGCCCGTACCTCCAGTGCGTGCGCTCGTCGCTCACAGCCGCCCTCTCCCTCTCCAACTTTGCGTCCCAGGCCTCCGAGCGCCACAATGTTCCCGAGATCGAAGCCGCCAGTTCGCCTGAAGTCATCCTGAACCCGCTTACCGTATCGAGAAACGAGCATGAACGCGTATACATCGAGCCCAGCATCAACAGTGTGCGCATAAGCATCAAGATCAAGCAGGCAGATGAGATTGAACACATCCTGGTCCACAAGTTCACACGGTTCTTGACGCAAAGAGCCGAGTCCTTCTACATTATGCGGAGGAAGCCGGTCAAGGGCTACGACATCTCGTTCCTGATCACCAACTTCCACACCGAGGAGATGCTGAAGCACAAGCTCGTCGACTTCATCATCCAGTTCATGGAAGAGGTGGACAAGGAGATCTCAGAAATGAAGCTCTTCGTAAGACAGCCGAGTTTCCCTGTTCGAGCACCAGAGCTGACACATTACCAGTTGAACGCAAGAGCACGTTTCGTGGCCGAGTCTTTCCTTACTCCGGTATGCATACCCCACACCTACATACGTACACGGGTACTGACAGAGTCTAGTTTGATTGAGCGTGTTACAATGCCGGCGTTTGTATATATTGGCTCACTACGAATACTTGGGCAGACGAAGCTAGAACAAACAAATATCAGGCCTGGAATCTTTGCCCACGAACGAGCGCTGTGTGGAAAAGTTACTATGCAAGCTGAGCATTCGACCAGCATTCAATACAAAGACAAACTTCGAATCCATTCCACGCTTGACGTACACCGCCGATCGCTCGAACATAAACGCAGATACTACGCAGACAACTGACGTGGAAGGAAAACGTCACGTTCATGGCACTTCTCATACTGTCATTATTCTCATTTAGATATTTCATCTACATATTGCCAGCCAGCCGCAGTGCTGTTCGCCGAAATTTCTAGAGATCAAGCTCACAGTTGACCAGCGCTCACAACTTGGCCAGGACAGCGTCGGCACCGGAGACCTGTAGGATTAGCAACGAGCACCTCAAGTTTCAGAGCGATGTGAAACTTACCGAGACCTCACCAGGGCTCTTCTCGTTCTCGGCATAGATGACCTTGCCATGGTCGAAGACCATAGCCCAGCGACCGTTGCGGTCGCCCATGCCCGCAGGCCAACCGTGTTCCTTGGAGAAGAAGGTCTTGGTGTCGCTGAGGAAGAGGACCTCGTCGCCCTTGACGCCGTTGACCTTGCCCCATGCGTTCATAACCCAGGCGTCGTTGCTCGCAATGGTAGCAATGACATCAACACCCTTGTCCTTGAACTCCTTGGCCTTTGCGATGTAGGGAGGGAGATGGTAGGCCTGGCATCCTGGGGTGAAGGCACCGGGAACGGAGAAGAGGACGACCTTCTTGTCTGCCCACTCCTTGCTGGCATCATATTCTTGGGGACGGCCGCAGGCGGTGGGGTCGGCGTCGGTGATGGGCGCCCATCTACATGAGAGAAGGTACAATGTCAACGTGTATTCTAAGAGCTTCGGTGGTGAGCGGAGCTCGATGCGAAGGTACTTACTCGAACTTGACGCCCTCGGGGAGCTTGTCGCCAACTTGTAGAGGAGCCATGATGATTATTTGGTGTATTGGTAGAAAATGTTAAGTAAATTGTAGATGCGTGTAAAGGAATTGAGCAAAGTGAGAGAAAGTGACTTGTTGTGTCGGACGCCGATTAGTTATGCTAGCTGGAGGGGTACCCGCCCGGCTTCCCAAGCTTGAAGCTTCGAGATCATAGTGGGGCATATGCCGGCCGAGGCTTATGACGCCAGGTACCCAGCCAGCGCATTTGCAACGCTGCAGGGTTTCTTTGACAAATCTTTTTGGCCTATTAGAGCGGCGAGTGAGCGTGTACCTGAATGAGCAGCTAGAGGAGAGGTGCCAAAGGAACCGTAGCAGAATCGCACAGAGTCGATGCGATGAGGTAGAGGAGCTTAGTCAAAAGGCCCATCTGCTACGAGCTTCCTGAATCCTAACAGCTGAATTATTGACGCGGATTTACTGTATGTCGGCTTTTCGTTGTTGTGGAACATTCAGGTGATCGTCATCTTTGCTTTTCAAGTTTCTCGAACCTTCTCAACAGCTGTTATCACACGCATTAAGCCGTAGATCCAATCCCTCTCTTGAAGGTTATCAAATGTAGTTTCAAACCCAGTCAGATTTCACAACATCTGTCGCAGATAGGCTGAGCTTCATCTGATGAGTCTGCGTGTAAGCACATGCCGAAGTGCCGATACGAGGCATCCAACGGCATTTCTTGGATCATGATTCATGACGAGAACGTTCTGTATTTGAACGATCACATTGACCTTCTACACGATTAATCCCGTAATATCCGCTTTGGCAATTTGACCATGTCTCTCGCACCACCCTTTACTCAAGAAACCGCTCACGCTAAGGTCAAGAAGGCTCAAGACCTCTGGAACGGCCAGTGCGTGGTGTCATGACTAGCTCTCATCGTTACTAAACTGTGCCAGAAACCCCAAGGTGATAGCACAAGCCTACACACCCGACAGTGTTTGGCGCAACCGATCGTCCTTCCTCGCTGGTACGGCAGACATTGAAGACTTCTTGACGAAGAAGTGGGAAAAGGAAAAGAGCTACCGGCTGCGCAAAGAACTCTTTGCCTTTTCAGATGACAAGATCGCGGTTCAGTTCTGGTATGAGTTCCAAGATGCCCACGATGGCATGAAGTGGAAGCGATGCTATGGCCTAGAAGACTGGACATTCGCAGAGGACGGGAAGATGCGCAAGCGGCAGATGAGCGGCAATGACATCGAGATCGATGAAGCCCGTGAGTATTTCCAGCCTCTGCATATCTTGATTTTATGATCGGTAGCGTTGCTAAGGTCTATGTAGAGCGATGGTTCAAGGACGGCGTCGACGTGAACGCAGTCGAAATTAGCGAGTCTCATTGGTGATGGATCTTGGGTGTATTCAAATAGAACGGGTGGGTATCGTGACGCTTGCGAGAAAGGAGACACGTATGCGATGAGTTCGTTATATGGCTTATGCTGGAGGAGTATCGTGTATAGCGACGAGAATGAATTTGGGATCTTGAGTCGTTAGCAAAAACCCCGCCATCGAGTGCGTGAGTGACATACCTGGTACAATGACCAGTTCATTCTTCCTTGTTCGCAGCCGAAGAAGTTTGACCTCGTCTTCCTTGTCCAGCTCGTCCACAAGGGTCCCCGCTGCCGTCAGGAACGCCCAGACCATGCTGGCGACATCCTCAGCGCTGTGTATCCCGCTTTCTTTCCTGCCGTTCGAGTAGTTGTCCGACGCAGCTTCCCCAGAGGCTGGCAGAGTACTATTTGGGTTCGCCGAAGAGCTGTTGGATATAAGACCAGAAGTGCGTATTATTGTGCCGTTCTCGCGCGACAGTATGAGGGTGCTCTGAACGCCGGGCTTTTGGCTCAGTCGCGTGAGTAGCGAAAGTGTCTCGTCTGGCTGCGCGCATATAAGTAAGCAACATTTGAAAGCGCAATAAGATACATACTGCGTTCTGGGCCATGGTTTGTGATGTGTGCCAGAAGAATAAGAGATGCAGTCGCGGTTTACAGCGCGCTGATGACATCGGCGTACAGGACCGCGGCTGGACCCTGCCAAGAGTCCATAACTCAGGCCCCTTCGGTGTTAGCGGCATCTGTGGATCCTCAATTTTCCGTTCATCAGCAGAGAACGCGTCGTTCGCTCATTGACGCGCATAATATCGTTCACTCTCTCGACATTGCGCGCAACAGTAAAGTCCTACGAAATCACGACTCTACTAAGCGAACCGCCAAAACTACTCTAGTCCGTCGCCATGACCAACAGCTCAAAGAAGAAGAAGGAGAATAAGAAGAAGGACTTTCAAGTAAAAACGACCAAAATTGCATATCCCGAACCGCAATACTAACGGAACCAGAAAGCAAAACTAAAGGTTGGAAAGGCGAGACCCAAGGCAGCAAACGGCACAGATACGAGCTTCCGTGCGAAATGTAAGGTCTACCTAATCATATTTCTCTCTTTCAACTAACGTATCACAGCGATATCTCTCAAGCAGCAAGCACTTTCCACAAGTGCCCCATCTTTAGAAGCACAATGCGCACATTATTTGGGCTTGCTTAATCACAAGGCAGACACACAGCGAAGAGAATCCTTAGCCTTCTTGACATCAGCCATCGCAAACAATCCGCCTACAGTGCCATTGCCGCAGCCTTCGTCTGTCATCATTCCTGTGGCACAAAAGCTCATTCTGGATGGATCCAATAGCGTTCGTCAGCAGCTACTGAAGCTACTGCAAAGCTTGCCGCCACTCGACATTGCTAGTCACGCCGACCAACTGTTACTCCATACAAGAGCTGCCATGACGCATTTAGCAACGGAAATTCGTTTGTTCGGCCTTGACGTATTGGAATGGTTGCTTGCCGTTGCAGGCGACGAGGTCGTCAGCTGTGCTGGAGGTTGGGTGAAGATGCTCAAATGCTTCCTCAGTCTACTCGGTTGGCAGAGCGAAGCGTCAAGCAAATGGTCAACTGCCAGATCGTACGGAAAAGCTGATACGAAGATGCAAGTCAAGCAAATGAACGCCCTGACTTCCTTCCTCCGCGCGGGACTCTCCCACAGGCAGACAATAGCACCTGTCGACATCAGCGACAGCAACTTCCCACTTTGGCATACTCAGCATCATGTTCTTTTTGAGCGATCAAACGTTTATGCACATCTCAACTTGTTTGGCGCTGCAAGAGATGAGGAAGCAGAGATGTATGAAGACCGCGAAGATCGACAACGATTATTCCGAGACCGAGCCGAGGCTGCAATCGTCGCAGGATTGGAGCAAGCTACCAAAGGTGGTGGAGAATTGGGCAGAGCGGGTGCGCAACTCCGTAAAGCCGTGAAAGAGGGTATGGCGGACTTCTACCGAGAGGATCCAATGGCCTGAGAGTGCAATCTTCCAATTTACCCAGTGCAAGGAGTGGCCTCCTACGGAACACTTCTAGAGACACGTGGGAGGACGGTCTCAAGTACTTCGTACTACCGGATAGCCGAAGGAGATCAACGGAAGTACCTCCAGAAGTGACACCGGATAATGTCTGGTGCTGTCTTACAACAACGCCACCTACACCCCGGTCTCAGCACACGGGACCAGTCGCGAAAGTGGCGACGTCACCACCGTCCCATGACAATCCGCGCAACACAAACATGAGCCTCAGGCTCACGAGTAGTCTGACGGAGACCGAAGCTAGCGCCATGACTCGAAACGCGACCGGTCAATACATGTACTGTCAGCCTTGCGCATCAACATCTTCCTCGCCACTGGAACAGACACGACAAGTCCTTTAGGCACTTCTGGTCGCCCTTTTCGCCCAGCGTTGTACCCCTCACTTTGCGTCACCACTTGAAGAATCCTTCACATCCAACGTTGTTATATCCACGGCTGGGAATGATCGAGAGAATCATACACGCCCACCATAGGGTGTAATCGAGCGAATTCGGGTACGGCAGTATAGAACGACAGGAGCGTTTAGAGTCGGAGTTAGTAGACAGCCAGGTTACAATCGCGAAACGTAAACATCCAGTCAACTCAGAATACTATCAAGAGTATCGCCTAGCTTCAGGCTTGTCACACACAATGAACACAACGGCAGCATCGCCTGGATTGCAGGAAGACGAGCCCGCGCTGACCGATGAGGAAGCCGATGTCGACGCGGGTCTAGTCCCTCCCACAGACTGGATTGGAATACCTCCTTTGCATCACCAAACGGAGTTGTGGATTCCCGATACAGCCGAGGAGCTTGCCCGCCAAACAGCTTCTTCGGCGGTGCATTTCCCAGAAACCCGGCAACGGCATCGTGGTACGGCTTCGCCTCGCAGCGCCGATGTATCATGGGAGGATATGCCTCCTCATCTTGTCCCATTTGTTCCTTATATAGATAAGAAGAAGGAGAAGACGGCTATCGGTATACCAGCTCCTGATGAAGGGACTATGGATGTCAACATTATCCGAACGTGGATAGATCGATGCCGTCAACTACACGGGGAACAATGTCATGGTAGCAGAACCTCACAGATGCACTCGCCTTTCCCGTCCTATTTGATCGATGTCGAGAACGGATGTCTGGTAGTTGCACCTGAACACCCACGTTACGTCGCTTTGAGTTATGTTTGGGGCGGGGCAGAGACTTCAGCTTGCGCTACGATGGCGAACCTGGCAGCACTTCAAAAGTACAACGGACTGTACAGTGGGGTCATATCGTTGCCGAATCTTCTTCGAGACGCCATTAATTTGGTGAAGGATTTGGGGCTTACTTATCTATGGGTGGATCGAATTGCCATCGTTCAAGACGATGAAGCCACCAAACACCACCAGCTGAGTGCCATGGGAGAGATATACGCCGGATCGCTTTTTACCTTGGTCGCAGCTCAAAACGAGGAAGCAGCTTCGAGTCTTTATGGACACCGGAAAATGACGCTTACTCCAAGTGAGACTCCCATACCACAAGGGCTCAGGAGACTGGACGGAAAGCCACCGAGTGGTGCGCAGTATATGACAAAGCAAGCGATGTCACTGATGGAGACAAAATGGTACTCGCGAGGTTGGACTTTCCAGGAATACATATTCTCTACGCGAAGGGTCATCTTCCAAAACAATACAGTCAATTGGGAATGTCTCTGTGCTTCCTGGCATGAATGCCAGGATTCTACTTCATCAACGCCACTACCTACTGACTCCGGAAAACCAACCTCCGACCTTCCAGCGACAAGAATGGACGAGCCTGTTGCTGGGCTCAACAGTTCACCTTGGCCAGACATGATTCGTTACACGCGTCTCATGACCCTGTTCAATGAACGAGATTTGACATTTCCGGAAGATGTTCTTGACGCTTTCGTTAGTTGTCTCGCCCATCTGAGTAGCATATTCCCAGGCGGATTCATATCCGGATTGCCGACGATGTGCTTCGATGCCGCGCTGTTGTGGCAGCCATGGGCATATCTGAAGAGACGGAAGCCTCGCCGACTGCCTGCTGGCGACGCCATTCTACCGTCATGGTCTTGGGCAGGATGGGAAGGCATCATCAACTCTGAAAGTTGGAGAAGTGCTGCCAACTACCAGATTGAGCACCTACCTGAAACAGAGATACCCCAATATACTTCCTGGAGGACTATCAGTAGTGTGCATTGGACATACTCGAGGACTTTGACATCGGAGAAGTATCCAGTCAACATCCCTTCGCAGTTTAGGCGGCCAGCCTTCACCATGTCTGGGGAGGGTCTACCCCCAGAGTGGTCCATATCCGCAAATCTGGGAGAAGATGGTCAAGCGGTCCGACATTCATGCGACCCATCTGCATCCTTTCGCTATCCAATCCCAATCCTCGACGAGACAGACCGCCGGCAACCTGTGATCAATGCTCGCTACCTACACTGCACCACGAGACACGCCTTCCTCGCGCTGGGCAAGGAATTCCTCAACACGACATCGGGCTGTCCTTCCGTGCAGCTTCTTACAACATCTGGTCGGTGGGCTGGGTGTCTCCGACTCAACTTCATACCTTCTCATGCGCGCGACGAAACATCGACACCGTCTACTCCGACTCTGAAACATCGCTCTCGGGATACGTCTAAAGCTCTTCCCAGCTTTGCTTTCACCACCCCTTCGCCGTCTGAAGTCGCGGATGCGCTCTTCGACCCTGATCGAATTGAAAACGAGCTGTGTGAGCTTATCGAGATATCTGCTGGCTCGGTGGAGAATTGGGAAATCGATGCGCGGAGCTTTGATGAATGGTATCAAGATGGCGTCTGGGTTAAAGGACTGTACGAGTTCGTCAATGTACTCTGGGTAACGCGGGTGGAAGGAGTCGCATATCGCAAAGCGCTTGGGAGGATTCGGAAGGATGTGTGGGAGAGCGAGGCGAAGGATGAGATAGAAGTCACGCTCGGATGAGCGGGTCTAGCATAAGAGTGCTGCGCAGTCAGTCTCATGAACGGGCCGGGCAGGAGTTTCTGTGTTTGTCGAGCGGCTTTCGGTTAAGTTCCTCGCGCTATCAGTCTGTTGAAGCGTGCACGTGCAAAACATGTTCAGACTAGAGATCCCAATAGGCAGGAGCACCTGCACTTGTAGTTGGCAGCACAAATTGATAAACACTGTCGCGCAATAACGGGAAGGCATGAGATGGTTCGCTACTTCTCACTCCGGCTTTGCATCTTCTTCATGTGCAATTTAGCAAATTAAGATAAAAGCACACGGGTCAGCGGCAAAGTGAAAGATACAAGCTCAAAGGTACTATGGATGGGCGGTCCTGATCGCGGTGTTGAGCTGCACTTTTGATTACGTCACAGCACTAAACATGGCGGCGCGGGACGCGCTCGCCCAGGCCGAAACATTGCTGATACTGCCGACAAACACTGGTGTGCTGGCCACATTGATACACATAGCCCTCCATACCTCTCGCCTCCTCTTCTGTCTTAATCACATCTGCGATACCGTTTCCTACCCTGTTGCAATCGCTCAATCGCTGGTGTGGACATTCGTAACCAATCGCAACGCGACCATGTCGATAGTATCGCAGACCCTGCAGGGTGCAGTGCTGAGCATAACTTCAAACGTGCTTGCGCAAGCCATATCATCCTACAAAGACAGCGTACGTGCTGTTGCGCAATCGTCCATGTCGTGGCGCATGTAGCTGACACGTATCCAGACGCCCTTCACCCTCAACTATGCCACGGTCTTCAAGTTTGCGCTCTTCAGCGTCCTCAGCACCCCACCCAACATAGTCTGGCAAGGCTACCTCGAAGACCAATTCCCTACCAACGTGCCCTCCGCCGCCCCACCGTCCGAGAAGCCAGGCTCGAAGCCCGACCCCACCAAGACGTCGCTCAGCAAGACAAACGTCCTTATCAAGTTCCTGCTTGACCAGACCATCGGCGCCGTCGTCAACACGCTCATGTTCCTGAGCTACATGGCCTATGTCAATGCGCAGGGCAAGCCGGGCGTCAACGCCATGGACGTGGTCACGAGCGACTGCGCGAATAAGCTGTGGCCGATGATGAAGGATGGATACAAATTCTGGCCCGCGATAAGCCTCATCAGCTTCCTGTGGGTGCCAGTAGACAAGAGGATTGTCTTTGGCTGCTCTGTGGGCGTCGTGTGGGGCATATACTTGAGCCTGGCCGTGGGCGCATAGATACGAGTGCGATGTGAGCGCGCGTTGTGGAGATGGATGTCTTAAGCGATGTATACCCACCCAGCGTGAATGCGTTCCTGGGGCGCCGAGTGCGCGAATAAGCTGGAATCGCGAAAAGGTTCGGTTCTGCTGGTCCGTACCACTCAACGCGAACACCTATCCTATACCTTAAAGGCATCCCGTGCTACCTTTTCTTATCGTTCACGTGAAACAGTGGGCATCTCTAAAGTATCCTTTCGGTGGTAGGTACAACTACGCGCGACCGAGCTTTATCTTCTTGAGTGGTCCTTCCAATCGGTACACCCTGAGCTGTTAACTCTCTCCACAGTGCTCGCACTAGGCTGACAACCACCGTACTTACCTTATGGCGCCGAAGAGGCTTTTTCGCCTTCGCGGTGGAGCTTTTCAAAAATGATACTTCAGTACCAAGGGACTTGGTCTTTCCATTGCACAATCAGAACTGACCGTCCGCCAACGTCTAGTAAGGGGTACGCCATGTGAACATGTGCTCCACACAACCACTTCAACAGCAATTACTGGTCACAGCATTTCGATGTGTGCGCATTTGGCAATTTTCATACTAACCGAGATCAAATTAATATACAAGAAAAGATCTTCTGCTGTATAACCATCTCCTCTCAAACACCTCACCATCCGCACATCATGGAGCATCCCTCAGAGCTCTCTGAGAAAATTACTGACGCCCCCGAGGGGGGCCCTTCAGCCCAAACACCGAAGTCCAAGGGTAAGCAAAGCTCCCAGGGCAAGGAGTCCGTCGCCAGTGGCTTCAAGTACGGACCCGTGCCAGGTCAGTACTTCCGTTCACGACGCGTGAAGCCCGAGGATGTCGGGATGCCGTGGCTCGACAAGCCGCACCCGAGGCAAAAATGGGGAACGATTCTTCCCCTCGTCGGCTTTGGTCTTGGCCTGATGGTGACCGCTATCATGATCCGGGACGGCTTCCGAGTCATCGGCAAGCACAAGTACTGCCAGATCTTCCATGACGATTTCAAGTCACTGAACGAGACCGTCTGGACCAAGGAAGTCGAGCTGGGTGGCTACGGGTAAGTTAGCTTCGATCATTGGCATGCATTGACTAACTCGAATATGCAGCAACGGCCAGTTCGAGATGACTACTGGCACGGATGAGAACGTCTTCGTCAAGAACGGTGAACTCATCATTAAGCCGACTCTCCAGGAGGAGCAGTTCCTTGGAAGCAACTATACCCTTGACCTACGTGGCCATGGATGCACTGGTTCCAGCTGGAGTGACTGTGTTGCCACCACCAACACGACCAACGGCACCATCATCAACCCCATCAAGTCCGGTCGCATCAACACCAAGCGCGGCGCTTCAATCAAGTACGGCCGTATCGAGGTCGTCGCCAAGCTGCCATCTGGTGATTGGCTATGGCCCGCTATCTGGATGTTGCCCAAGGACAACGCATATGGCCCTTGGCCTCGTTCTGGTGAGATCGATATCGCCGAATCTCGCGGCAACGATCCCAGTTACGCTCAGGGTGGCAGGAACGTTGTCTCGAGCACGTTGCACTTTGGTCCCGACTCCAACCACAACGGCTGGTGGCGCAACAACGTCAAGCGCGAGGCGCTACACACTACATACGCCGCCGGTTACAACACTTTCGGCATTGAGGTAAGTCTCATATGTCTCTGTCGTCTTCTCGTCAGTACTAACCGCACTTCCAGTGGAGCGAGAAGTACATCTTCACCTACATTAACACGCGCCTGCTCCAAGTCATGTACACGCACTTCGACCAGCCCTTCTTCAAGTACGGAAACTTCCCCCAGGCCGATGCCAACGGCACCCGTCTCGACAACCCCTGGAAGCACGCCAAGAGCAACGCCGCTCCCTTCGACCAGGAGTTCTACCTCGTCATGAACCTGGCTGTCGGTTCCACCAACGGCTGGTTCGAGGATGGCAAGAGCGGTAAGCCATGGATTGACAAGAGTCACCGCGCCAAGCTCGACTTCTGGGAGGCCAAGAACCAGTGGTTGCCTACGTGGAAGGACGGCGGACAGATGAAGGTTAAGAGTGTTACCATGTGGCAGCAAGGTGGACACAACGGGTGCAAGGCTTAAGGTGTCTAACGCTATCGGACGAAGGAGAAGACTGGCTTAGTGTACTTGACTCGTTGCTGGAAGTACTGCGCAGGTACAAGTCCGTATGGAGAACCTCGCTGATTGTAATCGTACTATCTAATGCAACGACTTTGTCTCAAGGGATCCATGCTATCGTGATTTGGTCTTAAAGTTCGTGGTACGCACTCTGACGAATGCGAGTTCATCGCAAGCCACGTTCAACGGTAGCTAAACTGCTATCCTTAAAGACAGCCGACAAGTTATCTATTAACATAGATATACGCGACATTTGATGTCAGTCTCACATACTCTTTGACGGAATAATAGGCACGCAAGTCATGTACGCCCGTAAAGACGGAAGCTAGCGTTCAGTCGGGAAGGTGGGATGGGCTCCGGCTTACCATTTCGGGCTATCACGACCAGGCACCCACTTTTCCACTTCTAACATCTACACGCCTATCTTGAGTGCAACGTCCGATATTCGCAGCGCGCGTATTTGTGACTAAGCCCGGTACCATCCGAACTATACGCGTTGCTCCTCTCAGTCGAGCTGCTTGAGCGATTCACCACCAAAAACGCTCTCTATTCCATCGGTCCCACCAGCATCTCGTACACATCGCAACCATGCCGTACTCTCCCAAAGTAGGCGACTCGCTAGACTCACTAGATACGCCGTCTATGATTGTGGACTTGGACCTCATGGAAGCCAACCTGGATAAACTCATGAAACAACTTCTCCCTACTGGCGTCAACATCCGCCCACATCTCAAAACTACGAAATCTGCCATCCTCGCGAAGAAAATGGTCAAAGCGGGCGCAAAAGGAGGATGTGTAGCAAAACTCTCCGAAGCAGAAGTCATGTGCGAAAAAGGCTTCACAGACCTCCTAATAACCTGCGAGATAATCGGCGCAGCCAAGGTGGCGCGATTAGTGGAACTAGTCAAGAAGTACAAGGACGTGCGGATAGTCGTCGACAGCATAGAAGGCGCAAGCGCAATCGAGCAAGCGCTATCAGAAAGCGGCTTCGAAGGCACGGTCATGACGCTCATCGATCTCGATGTGGGATTACACCGCACGGGTGTGCAACCTGGTCAGCCAGCCTCGGACCTAGCACGTTTTGTCGCCAGCTCAAAGCACCTCAAACTCATCGGCGTACAAGGGTACGAGGGACATTTGCAACACATCCACGGTCTCGAAGAGCGCAAGAGTCAATGTCTGGAGAGCATGAAGATTCTTACCTCTACAGCCGAAGCGCTGAGAAAAGAAGGTTACGCAATCGATGTCGTGACGACTGGTGGGACGGGCACAGCGGAGTTTTGTGTCACGGTCCCTGGAATCACAGAAGTACAGCCTGGCTCTTTTCTCTTCATGGATACGGATTATCGCAATGCTGTTGGTTCGACGAACTATGCGCAGAGTCTGACTATCTTGTCGACGGTTCTCAGCAAGCAGGGCCCCAATATTATTACTATCGACGTGGGGCTCAAGTCGTTGACAACGGATTCGGGATTGGCCGAATGCAAGACGCCGGGGTATACGTATGGCGTTCTTGGAGATGAGCATGGTAGTCTGGCTTGGGAGGAAGGCAAGGGTAAAGGATTGAAGATAGGTGATAGGGTCGAGATGGTGCCTAGTCATATTGATCCGACGGTGAACTTGCACAATGTGTACTATGCGTATCGGAAGGGCATCATCGAGGAGATTTGGCCTGTAGACAGTAGAGGGTGTGTGCAATAGCGTCTGGGGTGCTATTGAATCAAATTGGTAATCGCGTCTAACAGATCATGTACACCTTCTTCACACAAGCCCATACTTTTACAGCCCATACTATACATATTTCCATCTCAAATGAGATCCAGTAGATTCGCTTGTAGATCCTTCACTGGAACATCGGCAAGGGGATCTTTGCCGGTAAACGACGCAGCCGCTCGGTCTGACCTGCTCATCTTTGTAATATCGTAGTGTTCACCGCCCATCTTGGGATGACGCTTGTCTTTGTACGCGGTAAACTTGTCGTTCCAGTGCCATGGGTCTTTATCTGCTTCTTTCGCATTGCGTGTGTTCTCGACATTGTCCAAACCCCTCTTCCTCTTGCCGTTGCCTGTTGGCGGTGGAGAGACATGCTTCTCAGCTGTGCCCTTCGGGTTCGCGTTCTCTTTGTCGGCGTCGTCGTCTTCTAGAATTGTGACTGGGTTCTCCGCCGAGCTACCAGCGGAGTCTTTAGCGGCCCTCTCAGCCTCGAGCTTCTCAGAAAACGTTGTCCCGGTCATGATCTTCTCGACCTCTCCATTGGTGTGCGCGAAGTCATCATCAACATCACCGACCTTTGCCAGTTTGTCGAGGCGGAGTTTCGTCGCAAAGATTCCCTTCTCGGGATCGAGGTTGCCCTTCTTGAAGTAATTGACGGCTTCCTTGCGCCATGAAACGCATTGCCCTTCGATGCCGAAGGCAGGGAGATCGTGCGATAGCTCTAGATAATACGCAATGACGATTGGCAAGTCAAGGAAGCGGGAATCTGGCTTGAGCTCGCCTGCTGCTTCAATAGCCGCGAGCACGGTGAGTAGTGCGCAGCCCATTAAGCCGATCATTTCGCAGGTTGTGTCGCCGTCTTCGTTGTTGATGAGCGCGGTGATGTGCTCGTTTTCATTCAGCCACAGTCCCACTGCGCTGATGACCGACCACATTTTCTCGATTCGGTCCTTTTTGGCATGGAAGCCTTGATTAAACTCGACCATCTTTGCGCTGTCAGCTTCCAGCTATTACACGCAGCTATCCTTCGCACTTACCATATTCTCCATAATTTCCTGCATTCCCCATCCTTGCCAGTCTGTATACAAATTCATCTCAAAGGCATCTGGGTCGCAGTACTTCGCCTTCCTTCCTAGTAGATCCGCCTTGAG